GAGCGACCGAGGCTGCTCCCTTGTCTCTCATTGGATACGCTCCTAACCACTTGGAGAAGTGATCCACTAACACCAGAATGTATTTCATCCCACTGGCGCTAAGTCCCATCTCCAAAATGTCAGCACACACGCAGTCAAAAGGTCTACTAGCTACAAATGGCTTTAACGGTGGGGTATTTGTCGGCCGCGGGTTTGTTAGGAAGCACTCCCTGCAAACCCCCACCCATTTTGCAACATTTTCTCCATAGATTCCCAGAAGACCGATTCTTCAGTATTCGACACATTTTCTTAGCCGAAAAATGTCCCCCCAGACATCCCCTATGCGCCTCGTCGAACACTTTTTTTCTCTCGGACTTCGGTACTACGGGCACTGCCGTTCCGTCTTCTCGGAGCAACTTCAAGACGCCTTCTTCTATAACAAAATCAGCTATTCTGAGCCTATGGGTCATGCCAGGTAGCTTTACCTCTTCTTCCAGATTGTTTGCTCTCAAACTCTATAATGGTGCTGTAATCTTATCATTTTCCAGCTCTTTTAGCCAATCTGGCCTCTCTACCTCGTGCACACTACACACAATTTTGTCTTCTCCAGGGCTACTTATTTCATCCGCGCACACTACACACAATTTTGTCTTATCCTGGGCTACTTATTTCATCCGCCTTAGCATCGGTCGGTACTCCTCTTGAGAGCGCATCTGCGACAGCATTCGCCTTGCCTTTCACATGTTCTATGCTTAACTTGTACTGCTGCACCTCCAACGCCCATCTTAGCACTTTCGCGGAAACGTTTTGCCTTTTGAAAAGCACGGTGAGTGGCAAATGATCCGTCCTTACGGCTACATGCATACCGTATACAAGGTAGTGCAGCTTCCTCAACGCTATTATAATAGCTAGCGCCTCTAAGTCGGTTATGTGGTAATTTCTTTCGGCCCTCGACAGCTTCTTTCGACACAAAATAAATTAGGGTGTAAGAAACCGTCGTGCCCTTCTTGTGATAGGACTGCTCCTACTCCGACCCTCGAAGCATCCGTGTACAGTAATGAATGGTCGCTGTCCACTTCGTGCTGCCTCTATGTCAGGTTGCGCTAGCACCGGCGGCTTTATGAGGCGAGCTTTCAGCTCTTGGAACGCCGCTTCGTGAGCACTTTGCCACTGCCATGGTGATTTGCTACTAGTCAACTCAAACAACGGTTGAGCAATACTTGAGAACCCTAGGACAAACTTCCTGTAGTAGCCGCATAAGCCTAAAAAGGTACGCATCTCTGCGAGGCACGTAGGCTGCGGATAGTTCTGAATTTTCTCGATTTTGGCTGGGTCCGCATGCACTCCTTCCTTGTCCACTTCATGCCCAAGGAATGCTACCTTTTCCCCCAACAGCATGCACTTCTGCGGGTTTCGGCTTCAGGTTTGCCTTACTCATGGCCTCTAATACAGCTCTCAGTACCTCTATGTGGCGCTCCTTTGTCTGTAGCTATCAAGACGTCATCAATGCACACGAAGACGTCCTTACCGAGTTGCTCCCCAAGGACTGTGTCCATGAGCCGTTGAAAACGCGCTGGGGATGTACACAACCCGAAAGGTAATACCTTAAACTGGTACAGCCCTTCAGATGTCACGAAGGCACTCTTTGCTTTGGCATCGTTCCGATAAAGGTATCTGCCAGTAACCCGAGGCCATGTCCAGCGTGCTAAAGTATCTTCTGTTTCTCAGGCTATGCAAAATCATATCTATTTGCGGGAGTGGATACGCGTCCTGTTTCGTATTCTTGTTTAGCTCACGATAGTCGATGCACAGCCGCAACGAACCATCCTTCTTTCTGACCAGTACTACCGGCGACGCCCATTCCGACTGCGAAGCCTCGATTATACCGCGATCTAAGAGCTCTAATCATTCCTTTGAACTCCTTCCGTGCACCTAACGGTACGGGCCTCAGTTTCTGACGAATTGGAGGTGTGCTCCCTGTGTCCACCTCATGTATCACTAGATTTGTTTGGGTCAACTCCCTATCTTCGACAGCAAACACCTTGTCATATTCCGCCACAAGACCCCACAACTCCGGTTCATCCTGATCGTGGCCTTTCCCTGTTCGCCTTTAGGAATTGATCCAGTAACCGCTTCCGTTCTGACTCTTGCAATGCCGGCTTGCCCAACACCAACATATCCGTCGCTGCCTCCTCGGTCTTCACTGGGATGTATTCTACGTCATCTTGTTCATAATGGCCTACCTCCTGGCCTACTCTCAATACTAGTGGCTCCTGCGCATAATTGCACACCTGTATGTGCGACTCACCACTCTCATTCACGCAGCATATACCGGACCTCATGCCCGCAAACCGCGAGCAAAAAAGTATATCGCCAGGTCGCGTGGCTCCCTTAATTGATATCCACTTGACTTCACCTGGGGCTACGTATGCTCTCTTACTGACCACAGCTTTGCTCTCCTGGTCCGCAGAACTTATAGCAAATTCTGTCTATGTCCTAGACAACGCTTCTTCCAGAGTCATTGCCATCTCCTCCACTACTCGAAGCTACGGGGGCTTTTGTTTCGCTGCTCTCCCCTTGGCAGACCAGATCGTACCCCAAGAGCGGGAGCGCATTGGTACCTATGATCAGAGTCTGCCCTTTCTGCTTCGAAACATGCATAGAAATGATGGTTTCCTTGAGTCCATTTTCCTTCACTGCAACTTCCACCACTGTCTCGAACTTCATCCGGTTGCCTGATGCGTCGAAAACGTTTTTAGTCCTATCAACGGGCCACTCCTTACGTACTTGCCCGTTTTCCCTTAACATGGTTGAAAATCCGTAATGGGCATGATTGATATTTCCGAGCCGGTATCAAGCAATGCCTATCTCCACCTTTTTCACATGCTTCTTTCCAAAAGAAGCCGGTGCGGGACACGTTGGATGCATTGTTCCCGCCTCGGTTGGCACTACATCCTTTCTCTCAGCTCTGCGAGGTACCCGCTCCTCTGACACCACACCCGTTGCCTTGCTTCCCACGTGGGTGTTACCCGCTTTGCAATTTCTTGCGAGGTGTCCTATGCCTTGATATCTGTAACATCGCATTTTTGCTTCTCTCTTGTTATCCTGCTGAGTATTGGCCAATCGTCGCATTTCAAATCCACTTGACTCTCCTAAGTCTTTTGCATTTTCAAGGGTCAGCTTTCTTCCTCTCAATTCTCATAGCGTATCCTTGAGGTTTGCGTATGCGTCCACTCCTGTTTCCTCCATGGCTACCAGTAAATGATACGACTCCGGCCAATGAACTAACTGTTCATACAACTGTTGTGCCCTCGTCGTTGCTAACGCGAGTTCATCCAACTCCGGGTACGCAATTGCCGATAGCCTCTCTAATTCCACGCAAAATTCCGCAACTGACTGTGATTCCTGCTTTTTAAGTCGCCTGAGTTTGCCTAATGCTACTATCCTCTTCGTCTGGGCTTCCCCTCGATACGCCGCAGACATCGCCCGCATTACCTCCTCAAAGGTGCCCCGTCTCAGCTCCCTGGGTAATGCCTCATACTGGGCCTTTGCCTTGCCAGATAACTTAGTCTTCAACAATGTCCTAAGCTCTCTATCTGACCAGCAATCTCTTGGATATTTAGCATAAAGGCTTCTTGAAACGACTCCCATGAGTAATCCATATCACAACCAGTAAAAACACGCACCTCAGGTAACGCTATATACTTGAGATATGCATTCATGTTATCATTTCTTGTTTCTACAGATCTCCCATTCACTATTTATCAAATCATTTCTATTTTCATCTTCACTAAGGTCGCTCTCACTATGAGAAAATCTTGACTGACCTCTGCTCAGCGGCGTCTTCCCACAAGGCTTCGTGCCCATTCCGGATGACGAGGCTTTCGCCCTGAGCCGCTCGTCGAGCCCACTCTGAAATGAATCACGGTCAACGAACAATGTGGTGCGATAATCTTGCGCCAGATCTGAGTATTTCTGTTTCGCTACAGTAGCCTTACCTGGTAGTATCCTCCATACTCACTTCTACTCAGAGCCCTACCCTCTCAGCGCGCCTCGCTTGCAATCGCAGCTCCTCGATCTCGCGCTCTTGCGCCTCCAGCTTGGCCTGTAATTGGGCGATTTCGTCCTTTAAAGTGATGCAGTTGTCTACTATTTCATGTTTCTTCCAGCACATGGCTTATTTCACATCCGATATCTAATAAACTGTTCACTAGCTCCTCGACCTTCCTCACAAACTGTTCCTGACTGTAGCACCCCAGGGTGGTGGCTACCCCTTTGTAGCCCTCTCGCTCATCCCTCCTTTGCTACACACTTCTCCTTCAAATCCAACACCAGTCCCATCGTGTGCTGGGTTGCCCTAGCGGCCACTTCCTCAAAAGACACCCTTTTGGGATCCACCGACCGCCAATGCTTACCAACCTCTGCCACTAGCAGGATCTCTATTTCCTTCACACTTTTTGAAACGCGGTCACATACCTTGAGCTCTTCGAGCTCCAGCTCGTTCTGGCTCCGATCCACCGCCATCATCTCGTCTGCGTCCGATCCACGAGGCATTTGCTCTGCAACAGTCATCTCATTATCCTGCGTGATCATGTCTCCAGACTCAGTCATAGCGAGGCGGTCCAGCCCTGGCGTGGCGTTCGGTGTTTTGCAAACAACAAAAAAAATCGATAATCGCAAGGTCACCTGTCTCTAAAAAAATTTTGGGCAGAAATTACCCTGTAGGCGAGGTTGCAAGTACCGATTTCGTCAGAGAAAACCGAACACCACACTGTCTCAAGGAGTTGCGGCAAAAACTGCCACAAACTCCCTAGCAATGCGTCAGTTCGGCAACCACGCGAGGCTTTCGCCAAGGGATTGCCAAACCACAAACGAAACGACGAACGAACGGACGCGAAAATGAATTACGGAGGACCCTATCCTACTCGAGTATACCTACGAGTGGTGGCTTGGCCCCCAAGTTATGTATAGGTGTGATAAGATATGACGGTTAGTAACCACTCGTAAGGTGTACTCGAATACGAAAAGGTGACAGTTTATTACAACAACACGAAATAAGAGCAAAATGGACAGAAGAAAACGCAATTACCAGAAGTCTACGAAAGTATACACAACACAAAAAAGGGAATAGGCAGGAGTGCGACGACGGGGTTCTGAAATCGCTGTCTATGGGGGAAGGTAATCTGAGAAAATCGGCGCTGAATCCCACTCGATTGCGGTGACGTCCGGTCGATCTCGTGACCCTAAGAGCGAAACTAGTGATAGAGAATAAAAAAATGGCGTGAGCTCCCCGCTGGGAGTAGTCGGCAGCAAAGAGAACAGTTCCGCGAACAAGCCTTTTATACTCCGAAAGCCCGCCAAAATGTCTTGTGGCGCCCTTCTTGCGTCGGCGTATTGATCGCCACCGCAATCGACAGATTGAGCACTCGCCAGTCGTACATGCGCGCTCCTTCCTCAACACAACCCTTACTCCATCCACAGGTCCCCTCCACCCTTCCTCAAAGTGCCTCGTCGCCGTAACAACCTTCGAAATTCTGTCCCTGCAACGAATTCAATTCAGAGTAGCTTTTTTAGGAGCACTTGATGTGAGCAAACAACTGTTTCATGTACAGTTTAAAACTTTTAGGTAAGCTATTAAAAAGCGCGCGACTTGGGCTTGTTCCAAGTTTTTTTTCCGCGACCGTATATCACTCACTTTATATAATTTGCTTCGTTGTTTGTCTGTCCGGAAATTCGGTTCGACCTGAAGAACAACTTGGAGAGGTCGGGTCAAGGTGGGGATTGGTAGAGCAGGACTTTGATCGCCAATATAATTCGTTTTGTCGCTGGTGGAATTTGATACCGATTTGGCGCCATCTCCCCCTTTTTAACCGGAACAGGAAGAAATTTGTATAGCAGGGTTGCCTGATGTCCCGGTCACGAATATGACATTCGTCCTTGTCGCTGGCGACATTTGGCGCTCTGGTAAAGCTGAGCTTGGGGGCGAGGATCACTTTCCTTCCCGTCAAGCCCAGCCCTAGCAATCAGCGCTACCGCCGAGAATGAATGTTATACTCGTAACCAAGGTCCAAAATAATCCTAGTATGCTAGTTTATGCAATTTTTCTGGAAAGGAATGAGGGCAAACTGGCGCTATTGCTGAAAATGGTACCATGTTCGTGATCAGGACCCTGGATTGCCCCCAAACACAAGTTTGCTGCGAATTTGTTGACAAAAAAAAACGGAGGCACTAGATCGCCAAATGGCACCAGCACCGAAAAAAGATGTCATATTCGCGTTCAGGGCACCGAAACACCTCTTGCATGAAAGTCTAGACGAAAAACGTTGTTTGTTCTTGTGGCCGTAATAGTTAAATTGCTGCAAGTTGAGTATGAGAAAAAACGTGATTGAAACCTCCCTTGTGTGGTCGCGTAACAAAAGGGTGCGTTCATGACTGCCAAGCGAAATTTTCATCGCGCTGGAACATGCTAAAAAACGTCCAGCATCTCTGATTATACGGGAGGAAACAATTTGGAAAGTGTGCATTGTATACAATGCGTGGAAAGCAACTAAACGCGTGTATTGCCGGCAATACAGACGACGTTCAAACTGTAAACGTAGAACGACGATGTGGAGGTTACAGCAAGAGAGAAGTAGGAGAATATTCGATCAAAGTGTTACAGGACTTTCTTTCCGACCTAATATTTATGCATACCAGTGAAATCCCCGAGTTCGGCGGGCGATCCTCCCTCCGCGTGTGAAGTGGGTATTCCCTTAGTATTTCTTAAATGACGGCCAGTCGGATCGCCCGGCTTCGCCATCATTCCGCGTGTGAAGTGAGTATTACCCACCTCAACCTTCTCAAATGAGGGCCAGTCTATTCGTTAGGCTTCGCCGCTTTGTATGTACGATGTACAGCGTGGCCCAAAAGCAAGGGCACTGCTCTAACAATGTTCAGCTGCTCTGTTACGACCTCCTCTCCCTTCAGCGGGTCACATACAGTGCAGTTCTCTGCGGACGGTGGGGCGGTCCTAAGGCCACGCTGGCTAGCGGCCCGATATGTTGCCTGTTGGTCGAAAGCGGCAATAGCCTTGCCCTGCGTCACGCCGCCGCACAATCTACCCACTCTCCCGCTCTGGGCTCTCGCCGATCGATAATTGCTCCAGCTGATTTTACGGCACTTTCGCAGTATTTTTTCTACATTCAGCTAAAAAAGCTGCGAATTTTCGACTTTCGGCTTTAACCGTCAAAGGTGAGTATTTTTACTAAAATTGTATCACAATTTGCACGAATTTAGCTTGAAATTCCCTTAGAAAACATTTTTTTTCTGATTTTTGCAATTCGTCCAAACTTTTCCTTATCGTCCCCAGTTTTTTTATGTTATTGACCGGCTTTTCGAAGTAGAGTCTCAGATGTGATCTCGTTATTATCGAGAACCATCTTTGACTCTGTTTTGAAGCTCGGAGAGCGCACACTTGCTACATAATTCACTCCAACATTACCAAAAGCGCGGTTCACTATTAGACAATGAGAACAAGACGCAGATTCGAGGACAGAATCCAAAAGGAAGAGAAACAAAAAAAATAGTCAGCAGAGACTCACAAAATTTCAGGAGATATGGGAAAAGGGGACCATTAAGGCGACTCCGAGCTTCAAAACAGAGTCAAAGATGGTTCTCGATAATAACGAGATCACATCTGAGACTCTACTTCGAAAAGCCGGTCAATAACATAAAAAACTGGGGACGATAAGGAAAAGTTTGGACGAATTGCAAAAATCAGAAGAAAAAATGTTTTCTAGGGGAATTTCAAGCTAAATTCGTGCAAATTGTGATACAATTTTAGTAAAAATACTCACCTTTGACGGTTGAAGCCGAAAGTCGGAAATTCGCAGCTTTAAGCTGAATTTAGCAAAAATAGCGAAAATGCGGCAGGAATCAGCTGATCGAGAGCGTCAGCCATTATCGATCGGCGAGAGTGCAGGACGGAAGAGTGAGTAGAGGGCGCGGCGGGTGTGTTAGAGCGCAGAGTCAGTGTCAGAGACGGAGGGGCAATGATGATAATTTCCTGGAATTTCTCGGCTTTCCATCGACACGCAATCAGCGGAACGCTCGCCGGCGTGGTCGTAGGGAACGCCCCACCGTCCGGTGAGCAC